TACTTTGGTCCTTTGGACCTACTTTGGGCCTTTGGACCCCCCCACTAAAGGGATGGCTGAAGGCTAATACTGATGGAAGCTTCTCTAAGGAGGTTTCCGGTGTGAGGAGTTATTAGGAACTACCTAGATATTTTCTACTTTTCTTCCCCTACATGGGCTAATGATGCACTTGAAACTGAAATGATAACCATCTACTGTGCTATCTACCTTACCAAGCAATGTAACATCTCTAAATTGGTGATAGAATTCGATTCCAGTAGCCGCATCAAAATTTTGAAAAATGTTGAAGCTGATCCATGGAACCTGGTTTGGTGGCACAATAATATTAAAAGATTGTTGATTAAGGTTGATGTGCAGGTTGATGTGCATTTGATGTGCATTTCCAACACATTCTTAGAGAATGAAACACTCCAGCACACAGTTTGACAATCAGGGAGTTAGCTCTCCTACTACATGGGGACACCTTATCCATTCCTTATCTTCATTGTAGAGATTGATTATTTTTAGGGAGGTACATACAAGGTTTTACTTAGATTTCTTTCTTACATTTTGTGAGCATGGTTGTATGAACTATATGGGGTAAGAGATTTGGGTGTAGGTTTAGTGATCTAACCCTTCTGTTTTTGTAACACAATTGTATGTTTAACATGTAAGGAGCAATAGATAGCTCTTTTATATATATATATATATATATATATATTGTTTGATAAAGAATAAACTATATTAAGATCAAAAAGAGGGTACAACCCTAAGATGAGAAGCTTTGACTAAGTCCCCATGAAGCAAAAAGTTGAGAGAATAGTTAGGTCAAGATGGTACAATAACTTCTTGTGATTCCCCTCCCCTCCTGGCTAAGAAATTTGCTGGCTTATTCCCTTCCCGATTTATGAATTTTAGATTGATTCGCAATACATTACACATGGATAAGATTTTTTTTTCACTGTAGAATGTTGCAAGGAGGTGTAGCACTCCCTCTGGCATAATCTAAAAGTGCAGAGGAATCCACTTTAATTTGCAACATATCCCAATTATTCATAATTACTAGTTTGAGAGCCCAACTAGTTTGAGAGCCCAAAACAAGTTTGAGAGCCCAAAACATAGCTAAAGCTTTAGATTCTTGTGCATCCACAGCAGCAATTGGGTATTGATAGAACAGTAGGCATCTTTCCATATGGTCTCTAAAAACTCCCCTAATTCCAGCTCCTTATGAAGATTAACTTCCATTAATGTTGACTTTGATCATCGGGAAAGAAGGTTTGTCCCAAAAAACTTTTATTACAAAGAAGTTTCTTTGGCCAGTAGTCACAACAGACATGCGAATATTAGGGAAATTCTTTAGTTAAATGAGCTTGATAATGAAAGCTATACATTTAGAATCCACCGTTGATGGAGCAGTAGGGATTTCATCAAGAATTAATTGATTTCTGGCTGACCAAATAAACTAGGCAGCAATAAAAGGAATTGGGCCCAACTTTATACTCTGCCAACACCTCCAGCATTCAAAAATATTCCACCACTCCAGATTTAGTGTATCAATGTTTAGGTATTGTATAATAGCCTTCCATACCTCTTGGGAGATTTTACATCCAAAGAAAGATGGCTGACAGATTCTCCATCCACCTTACACAACTGACAAATGGAAGGACCCTTCAAACCTTTGAGTTTCAATTTATCATCAATTGGAAGTAACTTATGAAATGTTCTCCAGCAAAAGAATGACATGGAGGGAGTTAGAAATTTATTCCAGAGGCAGTCTCCCCAATCCACTTCTTCCCAATTATAAAGTTTGCTATAAATATTTTTTGTGATCCTTTGATTTGGGTTTCCTTCAATCACTATTTTGTCTTCCTGATCTCTATCAAATGGTAGTTTGGTAATCTTTTCAACTTATTGTTGATCTAGGAAAAAGCTAAGGAATTCAGCTAACCAAGAGTTTCCCTACCAACCATCTTCATTCAAAAGTTCAGTATCACATTCCCTAGCTGTAGGATTGATGACATCTCTGAACACCATCTGTCAAGCTAGAAATTGAGTTTACCCCTTCCAATATCCCATATGAAAAGATTGTTAGCATGAGGTCTTATCTTCAATAAGTTAACCCAAATTCCGAAATCACCTAACTTCCTAGATACAAGATTTAGATGAACATGTTTGTAGTATTTGGCCCACATGAATTTAGCCAAGAAAGTCATTTTTTGTCTGAATTTAAGCCAAAATTTGCATAAGCTCAATTGTTGTAACTGATCGAGGCCTTTAAAACCATGTCCCCCAACAGATT